AAATGCACACGGAGAATGGACGTCCGAGCGATGGCGAGCCTAGGACCAACTGGTCAGCCTCTAGAACCCTCTTGGGGATCGCTTGTCAGGGCCCCAGAAGCCAGGGCATTGCAGGCCAGGGCTCTACCAGCTTCGCGGGGAGAAAGCAATGAACACCACGTGTTTCGACCCACTGCTGCAGTTTTCTCGCGCGTGCCGAAGTCCCGGCTCGTCGCAGCCCCTCTCCACGGGGCCCTGATTCTGGGCTCCGGAAACCAGAGCCTCGCTTCACCCTGCGTTGTACCCTGGCCGGGCTGCCATCATTTCCTTGCCACGCTGCTTCGGGCAGGTCAGCCGCACGCCCATTCACTGGGGCTGGTTCTACTGACTCGCCGCACCTTCTGGTGCGCACGGCCGCCACTGCTGACCCTCTCCTTCCGTCTGGACAGCCGGAGCCCGGGTCAAAGCCAGAGCCGCGCGCTTGCGCGACGCCGTCGCGCTTGCATTGTCCCCAAGGGACCGGGCGGGGTCAGGACGAGGATAAATCCGTTCCAGAGCGTTCGGGAACACTCTCAGAGCGTTCGGGAACGCTCTGAGAAGGCTGCGGCCCCCGAAACATCCTCCAGAGCCGCCGGATCTCAGAGATTCTCGATGTATCCTCACCCGATGTTATTTTCGTCCTGGCTCCGTCTTACGGGACGTTGAGTTCTTCGCATGGGTCGGAGCATGAGCGAGCCCCCGGCCGCCTGCTGCCGTCCTGGCCTCCGCCGCCCCCGCGCGGCCGCCCGCGCCGGCAGCCGCCTTCTGCAAAGGAGCCCGTCGCTGGCCCTGCTGCCCGCGTCCCCGCCGCGGGCCAGCGGCGGGGGCCCCAGCTCGGCCAGCCGTGGCCGCCGCCGTGGCCGCCAGCGTCGTCCCCGCGAGTGGCCGTCGCGGCCGCAGAAGCCCCCGCCGCCGCCGCCGTGGCGGCCGCAGCCGTCGCCGCCGCGCGGCCGCCGCGCGTGGCCGTCGCCGCCGCCGCGCGGTGGAGGAGGTGTTTCTGTAGATGGGGGATTATAACGGCCTCGCCACATTGCACCCTAATGCACTTGTATGAACGGGGAGTGTTCTGAAGGAGCGGGAGCCTAGCTCGGACGGACATTGCCATTGCGTATTGCGTTGGGATCAATGATGGCGATCGGCAGCTCAAAGTCGTGCGCCACTCCTGCTGCCTGGACCATGACATTTCGCGAACACACAACATAATCGAAGCGCCCTCTTTCCCGTTCCTGGTGTCGCGGGGGAACCCGAAAGAAGCAGCAAGCATAGTAGAAAGAGCCCATGAGCTCCACTCAAGCAGGAGCCCATGAAAACAATCGCAAGGACAGTTCTCGGCTTCAGTATTGGCCAGCCCAGCATTGGCAGAGGCGCGAGAGCCGGGAGCGCCACTGGAGTCCAAAATTGTGTTCCTTCGAAGTGCCAGGGTACAGAAGCTTGGAGAGGACCACAGACAGATCATCCCATGCTTCGATACTGGATCCTCCTTGTCATCATCTCCGCCCTCCTCCGCCTCATCCCACCTCCCTCCACCCCCTTCCCCCCGCCCCCCGCGCGCGCTCTCCGGAGCGCCGAGGCGGAAGTGGGCAGGATTGGACGGGGATGGTGGCCCACACATTTGGCGCTTCAGTTTTGTTCGATGCGTGGGCCCCCCCATCGGAGGAAAGTACAGCGACAACACCACCAGGAGGTCCAGCGAGGAGGTCCACGAGGCCCCTCCAAGCTGGGTACAGGGGGCGCCTCGAGCGGGGAAGGGCACATGTTTCACGTGCCTGGCGCTACGGCGCCCACCTGCGACGCCCTGGCCGGCCGAGTTCAAGCGGGGAGGGGCGGCCAAGCCACCAGGAGGACTCCCCCTGGCTTCTCGCGCGGGCGCTGGTGGTGTTGCTAATCATCGTCCCTGCCCAGACCTTCATCGACCCCCGCCCCAGTTCTTGGACGGCCCCCAGGGCCCGAAGGGCCAGCCTCCGGAGGCGATTTGCTGCTCGAGGCGCCAGAAGTCTTCGGGGGGGAGGGAGCAGGCCGAGACCCTCGAACATTCAGGGGACCCTGACATCCGGCGCCTCGATGTTTTCGAGACATGGGCTCTCGACGTATCGACCACTTCCCCACGACCGGCTTCTCATCCCGAGCCGGTTTTGAATGGTCCGAGGCTCGGCAGGGGTTCCGAGAGGCCGAACACTACAGTCGAGTTTGATTAGTAGGTCGACCAGGCCACATCGATGGTACCCAGGCCACATCGATGGTACCCCTGCGGCCCGCATGTCATGTGGTGTTCTGGGGCCACGTTGCCGTCGGAAGAGTATTGTGTCCTCTCGGGTGTCCTGTCCAATCAAGTCCGACTGTATGAAAAGTTTCCGTCTCGGGTTTTTCGAGGCGCCCGATGTCCCTGGAAGGACCAAGAAGCGCAGCGCACACGCCAGGAGGTCCGCGCCGTGCCCCAATCTGGGCGCGGCGCGGAGGCCGTGGCGTCAGACGTGTGGTGCGTGGGCGGGAGCACGAGGAGGGTAGGGGGGGGGGAGCGGGGAGGGGGGGGACTCTGAAGGAGGTTGGGCAAAGCGAGGGGTAGCGAGCGTTTGTCCGCGGCCGTTTGTGTTCAAGCGGCCGGCGGCCAAGATATGACTGTGCCTCATCGTGAGGCACACGATTTGCCATTGAGACCGAAAACATGCTCGCTTGACATGGCTCGTCGTTCCCGCGATTCTCTCCTGCACTTGGGCCTTTCTTTACCACGGCAGAACAGAATTGGATATGGGCTTCGCCTTAGGCGACGCATTTGGTTGGGCCTCCCGACCACCTTCAAACTTGGTAGCGGAGCTGTCCTGCGGAGGACAGCTACCGCTTACTATTCACCATCCACGGCATCATCTGGTGGACTCCCGACATGGCGGAACATCAGGGTGCAGTGGCTCTGCGCGGAGGAGTGTATACACATACGCACACTAGCAAGGACACTTGCAGTAATACCGCTGCCCACGCGGAGGTTTCCTACTTGAGTCCTTCCTCCATGCGCTGCTAAACGCCTGAAGCCCACTCACCTACTCCATTGTGTACTTTCTTCGAAGATACTACGCATGGCAACATGCGATACGACATTGTGCCGCCTCCACCCCCACGCAAGCCGACGGCAACGTCACCGCACAACAACAGCGACATACAACCAATTACGACCTACGGGGCCACTGGATTGGCATACTATGTTTGGTCTTCCACGGGTCGCTATTTGATGCGCTGTTGGACACATGCAGAGTGCTCGCAAGGACCATAGCCATGAAAGCCCCCCCCGCAGTAATTAATTCCTGTGTTAGTATCGGTGGACGCCGCACCGATGGCGTCACCTATATCAAGTTCCGCCCCACCACTAAGTTCGAAAACCTGAAAGGGAAACGCCAACTCCATTCGGGAACGGCTCTCATTATCTTTCGCGCCCATGCGGGAAGACGGGTCGACCAGGCGCTGGCCCGCTTCGAGATAGTACGCTTCGAAACCGACACCGCGGGTTTCAACGTCCCAAATTTCCAGATCCTAACAGTTAAACAGTTTTGAACTCTAGGTGTTGGTACCTCGCGCGCAGCAACTACTACAACCACTGAACCACCAAGTGCCATGGACTCAGCAGCAGTTTGACGCCTTAGCAGAGCGCGCGAGGGCTCGCGCCCATATTGCTGAGCGAACCCCTCGCAACATTGGTGGCGTATTCAGCCCTGGCCACCGCGCTGGCGATCTTCATAGCGACACTCACGCAGGGCAATCTGCCAACAACGTCTGGAATGACGACCCACAACCAAAGGAGGCCACCACTTTATTGAGCCAGCAAGGTGGCCAGCCCACGTCGTCGCAAGACTCCGGGGGCCGTCGGCGACGGCGGCCCTTTACCCGAGCCATTATCCTTGTGGGCTCGGCGGGCCGACCCACAGAATCCAGATTTGATTCTGGCACCGACGCTGACGCCTCGTCATGTGAGGGATTGGTGACATGGATTATTCCGACATGCCCGTGCATCTCACTACTGAAGAACAGCAGGCTCAGCGGATATTTCTAGGATGCCAGAAGCACAAGTGCCAATATCGATGTTTTATGAGGAGACCAGTTCGACAGGTGCGACGCGCAGTCCGACAAAAATGTAAGGTAAATGGTAAATGACGGAGATCACATGGTAGAGGCATGCCAACATTCTTGGCGCCCCCTTACGGGGCCACAGTATGAAGAGATCTTCTTGGGGGAGGGTAGGGGCCGCAGGCGCGCCTCAGGAAAAGGTGCGCGGGGGGGGGGGGGGGGCGCCGTGGCAGCCCGAAAAATGACGGCGGGGAGACCGCGGGCGGTGATATCTGCCATAGTGCCCAGCGATGGGAGAGGCAGGGGGTCGATGCATCTGACTCAGACCAATTCCGACATTTGAAAGAGCGTGCTCTACCGCTGCTGGCGGAAAACAGGGTGGGGTCACTGCCCGTTCGAACGCACCCCCCCTCCGGAAAACCGAGGGGGGGGCCGCTGCCGGTTCGACCCCCCCCCCCCCCCCCCCCCAAGTCCATCTGAAAGGGGGGGGGGTCGCTGCCGGTTCGAACCCCCCTTTCGAAAACCGGGGCGGGGCCACTACCGGTTTCGACCTCCCCCCCTCTTCGAAAAACCGGGGGGGGCGCAGACAGCGGCGGGGGCGGTGGCGGCGGGGGCAGCGGGGAAGGGGCAGCGGGACAGTGGGTGGGCCAGCGGACACGCGGTGGGGACGGTAGTGGCGGCGGGGGAAGTGGCGTGGACAATGGTGGAACAGTGGGGGCAGTGGGACAATGGCGGGGCGGTGTTGGCGGGGACAGCGGCGCGGGGACAGTGGGACGCGGCGGAAACACTGGGACCGTGAGGGCGCAGCGGTGGCGGGACAGCGGCGAAGGCGGCGGCGAGGGCGGCGGCGGGGCAAGGGGACAGAGGCGCAGCGGGGACAGTTGCGGGGGCAGCGGGGGCAGTGGTGGGAACAGTGGGACAGCTCACTGGGACAGGGGCAGAGGGACAGTGGTGGGGGCGGCATTGGTGGGGACAGTGGTGATGACAATGGTGGGAACAGTGGGGGCAGCGGGAATGCGGTGGAAACGGTGGGACAGTGGAGGGTGCAGCGGTGGCGGGGACAGTGGCGACGGCGGTGGCGAGGACGGCGGCGGGACAATGGGACAGAGGCGCAGCGGGGACAGCGGTGGGGACAGCGGGGACAGCAGCGGGAACAGCGGGACAGTTCAGTGGGACAGCGGAGGAGTCAGTGGGGACAGTGGGGGATAATCGGGCAATGATTGGGGCCGCGGAGAAAGTGGGGAGAGTGGAACCGCGGTGGGGACAGCGGCGGGGACAGTGGGGGCAGTGAGACAGCGGCGGGGGCAGTGGTTGCGACACTAGGGGCGGTGGTGGAACCAGCGGGGACTGTACACGTGGTGGTGAGGACAGTGGTGCTGGGAACAACAGTGGGGGATGCGGTGCGGACGGCGATAGGGACTGGGAGTCGTTTGCTGGCGGCGAGGTGGGGAGAGGGGTTCGAACCGGCAGCGACCTCCTTCCGGTTTTCAAGGAGGGGGGGGAGGTCGAACCGGCAGCCGGGGAGGGGTTCGAACCGGCAGCGACCCCCCCCCTTGGTTTTCGGAAGGGGGCGAGGGGGAAGGGGGGGGCAGGGGGGGGGCTTTGCCAGGGGGCGGAGAAGGGGGGGGGGCAGCAGAAAAGGGGGGAAGAGTTAGGATTTTCGGAGGGGGGGGGGCGGGTTCCGGAGGAAGAGGAGGGGGGGGGGGCTTTTCCATAGTAAAGCGGCGGTAGATCGCGCTCTCTCTCTCTCTCTCTCTCTCTCTCTCTCTC